CTGCAGCTGCGGTACACGAATACGTGCATATTATTATCATGCAAACATATTATTATATAAAATATTATATAGACACGTGCACTGGCCCCGTAATTCTGCGCCGCCCGTGATTCAATTAAATGCCTTTTGTACCATCAATATTGAATTTGAAAAAAAATAAAACGTTGACGTTTGAAAATGTATAAAATAATTCCTTTAATTTAAATTTCGAAACGCCCGCGCCCGTTCATTAAACGCTATTGAACGTGTTTCACGCTCACCTATACACATAAAATATTTTATGTATTATATTTCTGTTTTCCCCGCAATACGTATTATTATTTATTAATACCAATAATAATAATTAGGGCACGCGTATGTTGTTTCATTAGCAATTTGTTTGATTATTTTCTTTTTACTAATTTGCTCCACATCAAAGAACGTGTGAACATGAACATTTAAAACAAACACGATTTTAGTCTAATTCAATATCTTTATGGTAATAGTTTGGATTGTTAAAATAAAATGAAACTTTTATTGTAAAATAATTTAAATATTCTGATAAAAGAAAGATGAAAATAAAAAAATGTAAAATGGTTTTTATTAAATATTTATTTAAAATATTCAGTGAAATGCAAAGTAAAAAATAATTATAATAAATTAGTAACAATGAATTAAAATGTAATGAATTTATACCGAAACATTCTTATTTTTTAATGTAATACTGCAATCAATTTTACTATTTTTGTTCGGTACTACTACTTCTACTATTCCTAATAATAATAACAACAATAAAAATATAATTCCTTTAGGATGCGACGCTGACGCCTTATGTTTACATCATCATCGGCGAAACGGGACTGTATAAAACGGCGACGATGAAAGTATCGATTTGACCGAAAATCGCGATGCACCATAATCACATCATTTTCTCGGTATTTGAGGTCTGTCGCCGATATCGTGGTTTCGTTACATTATAAATTATATGATAATAATACAATTATGATAATGGCGATAACTATACTGACGAACACTAATGTTTCGTTAAACAATAACGGCGAACAATATTCTCGATTAATCTCAAGCAAACAATATTATTATATTATTATTATTATTTGTTCGACTATTATGATTTGAGGTTTAATTGAAATTCGTTAATGTACGACGGACTTTTGTTGATATATTTTATCGATGGCGAATCGCGTCTATAATGAATTCGCAACTTTGGAACAATAATAATTGAACAGATGATGAATAACTATTGTATACTATATATATATATATATATATATAGTCTGTTGAAATAACGATAATGATCGTTATTGTTATTTTTTTAATTCCTATTATCTCCGTTTGCACTTGGTAAAAAAATATTATTTTTCCATTATACAAGCTACAATGCCCACATATTTCTTCTTATATAGTATGAATAATTCATGATATTTGTGCTGTTATTTTAAATCTCATTTCTCCTCGGCGTTTTGAAAACAAATTACATAAGTCAATACAAGAACTAATTTCGTTTTAAGAAAAAATTAAATTGCTCATTTTTAAGTTGCACCAAAAACTAAGTATTAGTGAACGATACACTTTATTTTCACAGCAAGCAATCTCTATTAGTCAAAATGTATATAAAACTAACAATAATAGTAATTTGTTTACAAAAAAAAAATTGTAATTGCAATATATTTTTAATGCATACATTCGGATTTTAAGTGCACAGTTCAATGCTACAAGTATGCTGCCCTGAATAAAACAGATGAATCAATTGGAATATAAATTACCACACTCGTCTGATTCGTCTGGATTTTCAAAACAATGTGCGAAAGCAAGTACAGTCTACAATAACCTCGTACAATGGAATTACGAAAATATATCCAGTGGTGAAAATGATTTGCAATTTTATACAGTCTTTGGAAGGCTGAATTACCAGACTAGATGTTTACATAATATTATGTATACTGGTGTCGTATTGTAACAACTATGTAATGACAAATTGACTTATTTTTTTTTTTTTATGTTAACGCCAATTTACATCGATCTATATAATCCGGAAATGTATCTGGCGTCGTAAAATTGTCATTTCAAACACAACATGATATTATGTATTCGCAACAAATTTGAGTTAAATTCAGTATTAGTATTCCAAAAATAATAATACTCTATTAAATTGTCAGCAATTCTTTAGAACCACTTTTTACAGTGTACTTACTACGGTATTTCCGATGACTATAAACATTAAACACGTTATTGACTACACGGCTATATATCAATAATATTATGTGTAAATTAACCCGCCTCGATAACACTTTGCAATAACGAATAAAGTTTGCATAAAATACAATTATAATCTCAGTTGAATGTAGTGTCGTGAATAAAAGTGTTTATACAATTTTACTTTCTAGACAGGGAATTTAGATTGTATAGTTTTGAATTACATCGGTCTCCGGACACTTGGATTTCATAATGTTGCATCAAGGTATCACCAAAGCAGCCAGATACGATTGTTTAAAGTTTAAACCATCGAGATATAATGACTCGACATTTATGACGATCATGTTCCAAGTCGAGACGTCATGCCTTATTGTTGAAGGTAGTTCAAGAAAACAAATACGCTGGAAGCAGAATATGTATTTCATATGTGTTTCATTGCTTCAAAAAAAAAAAATAAACCATCTAGAGAGCTATACTTTACAATTACCAAGAAACATGTTTTTATTTTTCCATTATTCAAATAATTGGCATAGTTTAAGTGGTGTCAAGGATTCACACAATAATTTGTTACGTAACATCAAAACTTTAAACATGATTAGAAGAAGTGCAAAAATTTCATAGTTGACACATGAATGGTTCAAAGGAAAGTATTTGGTTCAGGAACCTCATATACGGTCACTGTACGGATTTTGATAAATACTCTTTTGTAAATAAATAATTATTTGTAAGTACTATTTATTTATTACTAATTGCTATATTTTAAACTTTAAGTCAACTAAAATTATTAGTTGTTATGTAAATCGTATGTTATATTATTACGTCTGTCAAACAAGCATGAAAAAATATATATTAAATACAATGCGCCTGATTCATGGTATTATATTAATATTCCGAACGGAAACAATAAAAAAAAACCATAACAAAGTGTTTCTAGTGGTTCACAATAATTACTGATTTATTTTTGAAATATAGATAATATTTATATAAAAAAAAAATAATAATCTCAATTATTATCAATATCTCCTATATCATGTTGATGTATTAATTAAAACAAAATAATATATTACGCAAACCACGACAGGCGTGTAGCTAAAATGCCTATCCAGGACGCCGTCTTATAATATTTTTGACGCGGTCTAATTTGCATCTTACTATGATAATAATAATATATTTATTATTAATTATTACGCTTTTGATTGAAACAATATGGTTTCTAGTCACGAGTAGATGAGTAAAATTAATAATAATTGTTATTATTAACTGTAACTTATGTTTTTTTTAACGTTAAAAAACAATGAATGCAAATTATTATCATTAGTTCCACCGGATAAGATTATAAATTACAATATAACATACCTTATAAGCTATACTACGAGAATATAAGAAAAGCGGAAAATCAGTATTTCAAAATATCGGGTTTTCGCTAAATGAAAATTTAAACGTTCGTAATTAACTTTATGTTGTTAACAACGTTTTCTGTCGAATTACAAATATTGAAGCAACCATTAAATTAATCATTGTAACATAATATCGTAGCGGCGGATGGTTTCGTCAACATTTAATTATACACAGAAATTCTCTAACATCTTAAATTCCCAATTAATAATAACAGTTATGAGAAATATCAAAACAGAAATTATAATAACAACCATAGCGATATAATTAAGTGTAAGCACTACAGCTGTCAATCTACTTTGAATTTTTAAATATTTATCTGTACAGGAACCATTGCAAATCAAAGTTAATCTTCAACTTTGTTAGTTTTTCAATACCGTGTTCGAAAAAGTGAACAAATCATTATATACCATAAACTATGTTCATTTTAAGAATTTAAGCAAACTGTGAATAGTAAAAAAACATTCTCAATATGTTTTAACTTGAGTATTTGAGAAGAAAGATGCACTTAACAAACAAAAACTTCTTGATTTTTTAAATATTTAGGTAAACTTGCAATTAAGTAGTCTGCACAATCAATATAATTTAAAATTACGACAGAAACTTTGAGTTTTACAAATATTTTTTTTCCTTATCCGTGGATTTTGTATTATGTTATGATGTCGTGATGTCGTTAAGTCGTGATGTCGTGTACTTACATCAGTTAATTTTGACCTCAACAAATAATACAAAATACCTATTTGGAAGTTTTGTTTTGTAAATTATATATTATTATACCGATATTTCTACTCCTATAATTGTAACTTTGTGTTTCGCAATAAGCCTCCATATAGAATTTTGTCAAAATATTTTACGTATACAATAATTATGTAGTCATATTTTTCAACGCACAGAACTGATTATTACGGTATTATTTTGTGTTGTGAATTATATTTTTTTCATAATAATATATTATAATACTATAAAAGTAAGTTCTGATTACACGGTTTTTTTGATAGAATATTAGACGTTGTTCGTTTATCAACTATAATATAACATCTTTTTTTTCTTGAAAATAACTAAAATAGCCCTAATGAAAGTCAAGTGAAAAATATAATGATTCCTTAGCAATATAGTATATGAGTAAACGATGAATCTACATTTCAACGATAACGTAACAATATTTTGACTAGGTGAACATGATTTATAATGATACATTTTAACGTTACTGTGTGATCGTTGCAATCGCATACGTAGAGAAAATCAATTCGAGTGAACACGAACATAATTATAATCTAATAATGTACGATTAATTGCAACAATTAAAGATAAATTGTATTAAATCATTTGTAAGCCCAATGGCTCGTGTTGAAAAAGATCTCTTACCAATAGCCATCAGAAAAAAATTATAACATCTACGAAAAATCGTTTACCTGCCAACGAGGGTCGGTATTTGATCGCATTTTTGTAACTTGACACGGCTGCTTCGGCGTCGCCTTTTTCCCGCAGCAAATTTCCTCTGTAACACACACACATAAAATATAAGTACAATTATTATTATATTATTATTATCTATATAGCACAAGTGTATACGCGCACTACTACGACGTCAGTCAGTTGTACGTTTCGGCGTTGTTCTTGTCGTTGTTTTTTATTATTAGTATTGTTATTATATTATTTGCGTATACACACACCGTAAACCATCTCGGCTTTTCGGCGGAACGAACTAGAGCAGCGGCTGTCAAGTTGACAAATTGCCGTTGTGGAAAAGCTAAAACACGCCGGCACACTATACATATACTCACACGCCCGAACGCGAGGAGCTTGAGCCGAATATTGTGTTCTATTAATCATATCGCCCAGGACAGACACACGCGTGACTAACGAAAATAAAAACGGAAGGAAACGACTGCGACGGGAGAACCGTGTAGCAATGCGCTTATAGAGAAATTTCACGCTTAGTTACACCAACACACACACACACACACACACACACACACACACACAAACATACGCACGGTTTAGAGTCTAGCGTACGCGGCCACATATTATAACGTCCTTTTATAGTAATGATCGTCATTGTTCCCCCTCCCCCCGACACATGAGCCCAAACTGGAGAAATGATCGTTACAGAAGATGTGCACATAGTGGAACGCGCGGGAGACGAAGAAAAAAGTGGTCGAAGGAGCGGGACGGGGTTGGAACAACAGCGAAATTTAATGGCACGCATATAATTCGTGTGGCTCGATCCGAATTTAATAATTATATTCGCGCCGAGCACTTAACGCGTTCGAAACTATATAAATAAATGTAAATTATGAGGCTCTCTACAGTAATATTTGCATGTTGTACCCAAGCAACACGGTTACACGTACAATACACAGAAGCAGCGGCCACGGTGGTAGCGTTCGAGCGTGTGAATAAGTGGTGTACGATTTATGTATGAATTATTATAGGTATTATTACGTTCCAAATAGTTGTAATCGCGAGCTCAATAGGAAAACATTTTTTACGCCGTCCGTGTGCTATAACCACCGCTTAAAAAATGTACGTGTATAATGTTGTGTGTGCGGGTGCGGGTGGGCAGTAGTAAAAGAACTTTAGAGTAAGAACGTCATTAAATTAAAAAGCATTAATGCAGGGGAGAGATGTGTTAATGGACGATGTGTACTTTTTGACAGGCCCCTGAAGGGAGGCGGTAGTCGGTCACGATACTCCTAGAGTCCCGGAAAATAACGAGATGACATAGCAAAGGAGATAGTATTTCAATGTAAGTAAAAATAATGAAAACCGTTAATTGTCGGGAAACGAAAAATAAGTCTCATTTCTGTGATCGTTTAAATAATGGTTTACAGACTATACGGAACGTTGTTTACTATGTGATAACGCGAAAGTCGAAAAATGGAAATAAAATCGATTTATTCCCTAATAATAAAATCAACTGCGTATATAATAGAGATATAATCTACGTCGTGCAAAACATGTGTCTTCTCAAATATATTTTTACAAAATCACGGTGGTGACAATAATTACCAATGCACTCTTTCCGAAATATATATAGTTCTCGAAGTAAAAATTAATTATTTACAAATATAAAAAGCCGTATTTTGCTGAAAGTTTCCGGTCGAAGATATATTATAATATTGTTCGACAAAATTGAATAAAGTATATGAACGCAGCAATCGATGATTTCGGTATCTTAAAAGGGATAAAATTAATGGTGAACAGAGGGAAAATTTTTTTGTAGAAGCGACAGACAATATTGACTGCAGTTATTATGATATCGGACCGAAAGGAAATGTTAAATGCTTTCAGTGAATTAATAAAATATAAAACGTCGGATCTCGTCGAATAATAATATTATAATAAATCCAATCTTCGGTCGCCAAATTCAATATGACTCGCGTATATTTATTTAACGATATATTACTATTGTACACGCTGTAAATCGCAATGTTTGATAATCTAAAAAAATATATATTAGATTCAGTGACTGGTTTCGATTTTTCGCTAAAACCAATAATATTATATATATAATAGTAACAATTTCAAATGTACACACATAAATATTTTGTACACACGATAATGATTATTGTGATTCTCGTGTTTACTGTTTGTATTCGGTCCGTTCGACTTTCGTTATTGCGTTTTAGACAACAACGAACTGCACAACAACAACCATACACAATGCGACTCTTTCCGCACAGGACTCGTTTTGTTTTTCCAGACCCCATTTTTATATGCTATATAATATGGTATATGTCGTACATATTGTATAAATTACAGTACGGATACGAATAACATCAGTTAATTGATTTTTTTGTCTCCGCGTTTGTTTCTGTTTTTATAACTTATACGTCATCGCATACGCTTTAGTCAACTGTGGAAACTATATGGAATACCAAAGTTACCCTTACACAAGCCCCCCACCGCCGAAATTGTAAACTGTTTAACCACGCGGATAATGATTTATGATATTGACATAATATTATATATAGTACTAGCTGACCCGGCAATGCTTCGCTATTGCAAGATTTCTCAGATATTCATTTGCTTTTTATTTTCTGGATGTTAAATAATTATTTTTGTTTTAGATTACTTTTAGTCACTCTCCGTGATAATATAGCCACATAAATTTAGCGTCGCCGTCGAAGATTCTTCATAATGTTGAGAAAAAATTATATCACTTATGTCAATAGAACAATTGATGCTTATTGCAACATTTTTTTAATTTAATAGATTTAATGTACGAAGCGACAAAAATTAGAGTTCGTGTTGTGTATGTACATTTTGTCGGTATAACTATGGATGGAACAAAAGATATGAATTATGCCAGTATTTTGATAATTCAAAAACTTAAAAAATTTCTTTGTAAAAGACGTTATCAACTTTTTCTGGATCGGGAGAAAAATATATTAATTAAATTTGAATGTCATACGTGACAAGGCGACGTATTATAGTTGACAATGAGAAAAACACTAGTAGGATATTATTGTTATATTATTAAATATAATATTATATTATTTTATATTTCTATTATATTATATTGTATTATTATTATCGTACCCCAAGCTAGGTAAATACTCTACATGAATAATATTTTTTACTTTAATTAAATTTTTTATTTTGACTGTGGATATTCCGATGAGCGGCTATAAATGCAACTCAACCATCTTAGTAAGCAATTTGTGAAAATTGGATTAGTTATTAGTTATTTTTTACCAATAACTAATATAACACATTCGATAGATATTCAGATAAAATTAATTGTTTTTTTTTCGCTAAACTAAATAATTATAATAATTGCTTATTATTCCACGTCAATACCTACCGACCAGCCTATAAGCATCTGTGGTTGTCGAGTTTGATTGTTATTTATTTTCAGCCAGCGACTATTTCTTACTAAAAATGGTATTGGTATACAATTTACACGTTTATTTTAATCAATAATAACTAATTATTTGTTAACTTTATCGGACTAAATGTATGCCTAAAACCTTCTCTGTGATGTCCTCTTTAATTTAAAAAAAATTGCACGACCATCCAATTAGTAGTTTTCTCGGTTTGCGTGGTCGTAGAAAACCGCTTATAATTTTATATAATAGTATAGATATAGATATATAGTTCTTTTTTGTGACTGTGATGAGTACATCGATCCGTTCGATTTTCGATATTGTATTTTAGAAAATGGCTAGCTGCACAACAACTGGCACAAATGGCGCGGCACCAAATTGTCAGGAAGATGTTATAACTTTTATCTAATTTTTTACATTTTAGCGAATTTGTGGGAGTTATTTTACCAAATTTACAAACAACCCCTTAGATCCCCCAACTAGATTCTACATTTTTCTGATTTTTGATATTTCTATGCATATCTCAGTAATTATAATGCGTAGGTAATTAAGCACTGATATGGATGTTTTCAAGAGCATATTATTGCGGTTCTAACAACCTATTTTAGAGACATAAGCATGAGCCAGATAAACAAGTATAATGCGTAGGCATATATATTGCCATATTTGTACGCTATCGTCGCTATATGACGTAAGATTTTCACCCTCGTACATTGCCTATAGGCCCATAAGCTATAATATATGTACCACTATTCACTTTGACGATAATATATTAGCCATCGCGATCCCACGTCATCGCGACTAGTTGCGTTTCCTCTAGTGTGTGTTGTGTTTAACTGACAGTTGACAGACATCATCCTTGGACACCTTTTTTTCGATTGTACCCACTCACCTTTAACAACCGATAAAGCCGGCATGGAGGGTGAGCGCTACTACTACCTTAGCGTTAACTCAGTGTCACGATCGTGTCGGTAACATAATACGCGTAACAATTTACTATTATATTATATCAGGGGTGGTGATTTTTTTACGACAAATATTAGTGCAAGTGAAAAATGTAATTTTCTGTTTCAACGTTTTTTTCGCATAATATTTGGAACATTGACTTTAAATCACGACTCACGGATACAGCAGTAATGCATCATAAATATGGCTTTTTGCGACTACTCAATGCTTCTCTATATTTTATTAGTTTCCGAGCTGTAGTCAGTGTTGAATAAAAGTTTCAATAATTAACCGACTATGATTAGGTAAAGTTCATTACAATTTGAATTCATGAATAACGTAATAAATATTTTATAAGGAAATTTAAATTACTAATGACTCTGTCAATAATTTTGGAGTTATTTTTAAAATCTTTATTAACCATCATTGGTAATTATTGAGAGAGTAGAAACTGTACCGGGTTAACACTGGCTACACTGCTGTTATAGACGATCTGGCCATCGCCCATCGGAAGTACTCGCGGGCATTTGACCGGGAAGTCAGACGTAGTTATCTCGAAACAAAAAAGAAAATCTCGCGAAGTATATTATATTATTGTATATGGGTTCACCGGGCTGTTTATAATAATGATGTGATACACGTTGCGCCGACGCAAATACACGAACATATAATATATTATGATGACGATGATGACGATGATGATGATGATGATAATAATAAT